CTGTAAAATTATATTTTTCTTAAACACAATTTATAATAATGTGTTTTTAATAAAATAATATTATATTATTATATGTGTTCATATTCTTTTATCCTACTTTTTAGATATATAATAAAATACATCCTTCAAAAAAATATAATTTTAAAAAAAATTAAGCCTCGTTTGGTTTGGATTAAAATCAAATTAAAATCTTAATTCAAAGTCAACAATTAATTTTAACCACACATGTCATGGAGCCCAAAACTTTTCAACCACTCATTTTATCAAAATTTTCAAAATCTACTAAAAATCTGATTTTAATTCTACCTGTTAAATCTCAAAATAAAATAAAAAAAGGGCTAAAAAAAAAAAAAACTTAAGTCCCCTGTTCGGTAGAAATTGGAATCCACATTTCAATTAAAGTCAAAGTTAACAACTAATTTTAACTACATATTTTATGAGATTCACAATTTTTCAACCACGCATTTCATTAATATTTATTAGAATCTACTAAAAATTCAGTTTTAATTCTCAGCAAACATGGGCTATAATTATTTATAAGTTGGTCATATTTTATTTTTATGTGCCTATTCTATGAGCATAAACTCTACCTGCCATCGAGCAACGTTTTATTTTTTTTTAACTTTTCGATTTTGCCTAGACCTTACTTAAATTTGTAAAAGTTTGAAACTTGGCATTGTTATCTAGTCAAGCGTTGCGCTTTTTAAAGTAAGGCTTACAGGCCTAACCAAGCAAGCATTAAAAAAATTTGTTTCTCGAATTTTTTTTTTTTCATAAATTTGAGTCATTCAGTCATGCAAAATGATTGTAGTCTCATTTTATTACAAAATAGGGTAAATTTCGTTTGTGATCATTGAAATGAAAAGTTGGACAACTAAACTTTGATACGTCTTAGCCCTTGTTTGTCTATCATTTTCCGAACACTCTTTTTTTCCTAAAACTCATTATTAACCATCAATATGGACATTCATCAATGAGCTACAACTTTTCAAAGAGATACAAGCAATGGTGAAGATGTGTTTAGGAGGAAGGGTTGCAAGAACACACACCAGGGCCAAACGTTCAAAATTAAACTATGGGCCCTATGGAATCAAAAGGAAATAATAATGTACCTAAGGCATCACAGCCCAAAATCTGGCTTTTGGGAAGTCAATTTACCTGGAAAAAAAATTCATGAATAAGAGTTTAATTATAGAGGAAATTACATGTGGTAATTACAGGTAACCCTACTTTTCAAGATCCAAATTCAAAATTCCGATTTCAACTTTTAATATTCCAAAATCAGATATTTTAGATATACATACGGATTTTTTAAATTTAATTAAATATTAATATTATTATTATAAAAATTAATTCATATCACCCCACCCCACCATAAAATCCCTAATTTGT